GCGCCAGCGAGCAGCTCGCGCCAGAGTGTACTGGTGAACACCTTGTCACGGTCTGACACATTGGATGAAGGGATGCCGTGCAGTTTGACTATGTTGTCCCAAAACGCCCTTGCCACCTGAGTGGCCGTGAACGGATGACGCAATGGCACAAAATGTGCGAGCTTGGTGAAGCGATCGACCACCACCATGATGGTGTCGTATCCCTCTGACTTGGGCAAACCCTCGACGAAATCCATCGTCAGATCCTGCCATGGAGCTGTTGGGACGGGCAATGGTGCCAGCTTGCCCGCTGGTTTGCGCAGCTCATGCTTGGACTGTTGGCAAACCTGACACTGCTTCACGTAGTCGTCAACTTCCTGCTTCAGGCCCTTCCATGTGAACAGTTTCTTGACGCGCTGGTAGGTTGCTGTTGAACCAGAGTGGCCTCCCACCGCACTGTCGTGCATGGCACTGATCAACTTCGTGCGCAGCGCAGTGTTGGCACCAATCCACAACCGCCCCTGGCGACGGATGATGCCGCGATACAGCTCATATCCTTCGTCATCCGGACTGTGCAGAGCGAGCTGTTGCAGCCGTTCCTGGGCGCCTGGGTCCGTGGTGTAGGAGTTAGCCACCTCCTGAATCCATGTCGGCTGACAAATGGACAGCGCATTGGCACTGAAGTGGATGCCCACGCGCGAGAGAGCGTCCGCTGCACCGTTGTCGCTGCCACGTTTGTACTGGAATTTGAATTGGAGGCCGACAAGCTTTGACATGGTGCGGCGCTGAACATCAGTCACCAATTGTTGATCTCCCAGAGTGCACAAGCTCTTGTGGTCAGTGATGATGGTGAATGGCCCGCGCTGGAGATAGGAGCGCCATTTATCCACGGCCATCATTACGGCCAGAAACTCTTTCTCATAAGTTGACAGCTTCTGATTCTTGACGCCCAGGGCCTTGCTGTAGTAGGCGATGGGGTGGCCCTCCTGCACAAGAACTGCGCCAATGCCGGTGTCGCAGGCGTCAGTCTCGATGGAGAAGGGCTTGGCGAAGTCAGGGAGAGCGAGCACCGGCGTGGTCACCATCGCCTGCTTGAGCGTGTCGAACGCGCGCTGCGCTGACTCGGGCCACGCGAACCCCTTTATGGTGAGCTGTTGCGTGAGGGGCTTGGCGATGATCCCATAATGAGGCACAAATTTGCGATAGTATCCGGTGAGCCCGAGGAAGCCACGAAGTTCAGTTGCATTAGTTGGAGTAGGCCACTGTGCCATGGCGTCAGTCTTCTCTGTGTCTGTTGCTACGCCCTGCTTGGAGATGACATGGCCCAGGTAATCGATGTGATCCTGGGCAAACGAGCACTTGGACATCTTGGCGTACAGCTGGTGCTCGCGGAGCAGGTTGAGGACGAGACGAAGATGCTCGATGTGTTCCTCCAGGGCCTCACTGAAAACTAGTATGTCGTCAAGAAAGATGATGACAAACTTACGGGTGTATTTGGCGAAGATAGCATTCATCAGGCATTGAAACGTTGCTGGGGCGTTTGTCAACCCGAACGGCATCACCCGGAATTGAAAATGGCCGTGATGAGTTTTGAACGCCGTCTTGTGCTCGTCTTCCTCCCGCATTCGGATTTGGTGGTAGCCCGCGCGCAAATCAAGCTTGGAGAAGTATGCCGCACCAGCCAGCTCGTCGAGCAACTCGTCGACGATGGGCAACGGGAACTTGTTCTTCACGGTTACTTCATTGAGACGCCGGTAATCCACGCAGAAGCGCCACGTGTCGTCCTTCTTCTTTACCAAGAGCACTGGTGCGGCATACGGTCTGACGGAGTGGGTGATCACACCGGCGTCGAGCATTTCTTTCACCTGCCGCTCAATCTCGTCCTTTTGCAATGGAGAGTAGCAGTAAGGCCGTGTGTTTGTTGGTTGCGCTCCGTCCTCCAGGGTGACCGCGTGATCATACTGCCTGTGCGGAGGCAGGCCGGTGGGCGCAGCGAAAACATCTTCAAATTCTGCCAGGAGATCGCTGATTGGCGTCTGCGAGGGCTTGCGTGGCCTGGGATTAGGGGGCTGCATCTCGACCATGGCCATTGCCCAGATATCATTGCCCGCGATCAACTTGCATAGCTCTGCCGGCTGCACCGCGGCGAGAGTGGGTGTCGACTTTGGTCAAACACCTTGTAGCGTGACTGTCGCGCCCTCGTGCACGAAGGAGATGAACTTCTCCTGCCAGTGGCAAGTCATTGGACTATTCTTCTCCAACCAGTCCATGAGCAGGATTCCATCGTAGGCGCCTGTGTCGAGTTCGTACATCGGCGTTGAGAACGTGTGGCCCTGCATCCACCACTTGAGCTCTGGAACTTGGCGCGAGCAGGTGAGCCGGTCGCCGTTGGCCACGCGCACATCCAAGGTGGCGATCTCTTGTGTTGTTGCCCCAACGCGCTCGACGAACGACTTGTTGACGAAGCTGTGGGTGCTCCCAGAGTCCAGCTGAAGCAGCATGACCTGATTTCCCACCAGCGCGCGGAGACGAATGGTACTGGGCGCTTCCGAGCCATCCAGTGCGTGTGCTGAAATTGTGCAACACTCTGGAGGGGGTGCTTCTGGTTGCGGCGCGTCGAGAAGATCAAGCGCATGCACTGTGTCGTTGGTGAGCAGCTCCCCGTATGCGCCCACTTGAATGGTGAGCAGCTGGGCCTGCGTGTTGCAGCGGTGATCACGAGTGTACCGATCTCCACACTTGAAGCATAGTCCGTTGGCGCGCCGGAACTCCTTGAGTTGTCGCTCGCGGGCGTAGTCGTCAGGTTGTTGTCGGGGCACGGCCGGCGGGCGTGCGGGTGCGGGAGGTGGACGCCCCTGCGGCTACGGTCGTGGGCGCGCTATGGGCGTGTTCAGCTCCTCCTCTTGGATGCGAGCGAGAATTGACGCACGTGTGATGCTGTTGGGCGCCTGCAGCCGAACTGCTGCGCGCAACTCGTCCTTGAGGCCCAACAAGAACTGGGTGATGAAGAATTTGTTGCTGAGGGACGGCTCGAGCGCGAGGAGATGATACATATATGTATCGAACTCCTTGCGATACTCGCTGACCGTGCCGATCTGACGGAGTTGCAGCAATTTGTGCATCTCCATCTCGAATTCGTCGACGCCGAACTCCTCCGTAATCGCCGTGCAGAACGCGTCCCACCCGAGACCGCCATGTGTTTGGCGAAATGCCTGCAGCCAGTGAGCCGCTTGCCCTTCGATGTACAGAGTCGCCGTGGTCACCCAACTCGACGACGGCATGTGGTAGAGGTCGAAATACGCTCGGCAGCGGTCGAGCCAGAGGTAAGGCGCGCTGCCGTCGAAGCGTGGGAAGTCGTGCTTCGGCGGCTTGACATAGTGGTCGCCGTGGTGCTGCTGCTGGTGATGCGCCTCGCCGATCTGGTGGTACGGTTGGTGCGGAAATTGGACTCCGGTTTGCGGCGCCGTGGCCAGCAGGGGCGGCCGCTGGTCCGAGAGGCGCGGAGACGGCAGCAGCCCGTGTGGTTGCTGTGGTGCCGGGGCTTGGGGGCGCGGCGGCAGCGGTGGTGGTGGTGGATGGATCACGGTCGGGGAGTGCGCTTCCGACGGTGAGGGCGATCGCTCCAGTGCCTTGCGAGTTTCGTCGACATCCGCCTGCGTGAGGTCGACTTGCTTGGCGAGGGAGCGCAGATCTTGCGAGACCTGGGTGTTGAAGGCGATCTGCGCCTCGAGCCGCTTGTCGCTGTCGACCTTCTGCTCGTCGAGATGCGCCAGGATCATCTCCATCATGGCCTTGAGGCTGGTGGTGCTGTCGTCCATGGCCGCCAGCAGCTGCCGGGTCTGGGCGGAAGGCTTGGATGGTGCCGTCTCGCACCCTTGCTAGATCGAACCCCGCCGGGGATTTTGCGTGATCTCGCCGGAGCAAGTCACACCCGAGGCGGTGGATGTTACCGATCCAGATCAAAAGGCAGCAGCGAAAAAATTTGGGGCAGGATTGAGGCTCTGATTACCAATTATAACGCCCCGATCTGTGTCGTAGGCGACCAGAGTAGGCAGAGGGGGATCTGGGGAAGGGGGATGAGATAAACTTGGAGAAGGGGATGAGCAGAGGAGAGAACAGAGGAGGGGAAATAGTTTACTTCTTCAGACTTGCCGATGCACGCCCATCTCCAAGGCTTTAAGTACACACGCACACCTACGCCCATCTCCAGGGCTTAAGTACACACGCACACCTACTGGCTCCTGGCCCTAGCGGCTTACATGTGGACCCCACGCACGGTACACTGGACATGCCAACTGGCTGTCACACGGTGGTGTGCAACACCGCTGTGACACATAGGTGGCAATACCTGATCATGTGAACATCACAGCTAGAGCTGTCTGTAAGATAATCCATTCCATCGGGGAAAAAATGCTAGATCTAGTACTAGCACTGGAAGGAGAGTAATGCCACAGATATTTGAAAAAGCGCATGTACAAGAAACGCAATGTAGCTCCTATTCAGCAGACAACCCAACCTGTGTCATTCAGGGGTGTCAGCATCATCCAGGATGAGCCTCATGGCCGGGACCAGACATGAGCAACATGACCAGGACAAACAAAACCTAGACCTCTAATGGCAATTAACAATTGCATCATAGTACACTATATTGTTATGGCAATACCAAGTTGAGTGGTGATAATAACTTAGCACTGGACAAGCCTGGTGATGAAAGCGCAAACTGTAGAGTAGGTTAAAAAGATCTTATGACAGAGCCATCATTATGACTAATATATATTGCTGATTGAAGCATCCTTATGGATTACCTGATCTGCCCATGTGAGTAGGCTTTGATATGCATTGGCAAATACCAGAGGTGATGAAGCTAAAATGAGGCCAACAAAAAAGCACAATTGACAGCATTAATACTTGCCAAACATAGCATTACAGTCTAATCAGTGATCAACTGCCAACCAAACTACTCTCAGTTCTTCAACTAAATGACTAGAGGATGGAAATTACACACCAGATTTGGTATCTAGTTAAACTGGATGAGCACTTGGCTCGACTGTCTTGTACTTGTCATGAGCCTCCTCATAATTCAGCTTGAGCTGCTCATGGCGCTTCAGTGAAGCCTCACAAAACTTCGTCAGACAATCAAGGACTACCGTCAGTTTTGATTGTAACCCTTCCACCAGTGCTACCCCGCCGCTTGATTCCTGCTCATCGTTTTCCAGCATCACACATTCCTGAGACTCACTCCTGGAATGTGGCTCTCTTCTCAGTTTAGTTTGATCAGCCTGATGCTCGAAGGAGTCGCGCAAGAGCTGCATTACGTCTTTAATGGACTTGCATAGCTCATCAGTGGGGAGCGACTCCATCATGGCAAGCCAGTCCCTGCAGAGGATGAATATCGGAGGGGAGACTGCCTGGCGAGGAGGAAATGAGATATTCCGCTTCCGACGGCGTCGTTCCTGGGGTGGTTGCAGGATGCACTTCTGGAGCCATTCGTTGAGGGCATGCACATATGACTTCTGAGCAGTGACCCAGATCCTGAAGGTTGACGAAAAGCAGTCCATCTCATTACACAGATGCATTGCCGCCTGGCGGTGATGCTCCCCTTGCTGCACCGAGGTTGAAGTTTTTACATGGTATGCCAGTGATATTGTAATGAATTGTTTGTGGTGGCATTCCAGCATTGCTTTCCACATCCTAATTAATCTGCAAAAGGAATGTATGCGCACTTCATTTTCAATGATAACATGGTAAATAAATGTGAATAAAACTATAGGAAATCAATATGTCCATAATATATTTAGATTAAGCAAATCAAAGTTCAAATGTCAAGAATCAGATTGCTCAGCAAAACAGAGGTTCTTTAGAAAATAACTAGTGAATGATGTAGTCAAAACAATTAAGATGTTTTTATTTTCGGTATTGTACTGCCAAAACTAAATTTGGAATAACATGACAGTTCAAACATTTGCATAACTTACAACAAAGCAACAAGGTAATATTAAGCAGGAACAAAGGAACCACAATCAACAAATCTGTTAAAAACCATATTGATGTAAAACAAAAATGTTTGGTGCTCCCTCCATCGCACAATATAAGACGTTTTTGCAAGCTATGTTAGCTTTAGCTTGCAAAAACATCTTATATTATGTGACGGAGGGGGTACATACTAAGTCTCAAAACAAAGGCATTAATTAGGAAGTACCCTTGAATGAGCTCAACAAGTTGTGGCTGCAGCTCTCCATCCCTTATTTTCTCAATTCTTTTTGAGATTGCATCAACAGCCTGGATTGCAACAGAAACCCTGGAGTGCAGATCCTTCACAACAGCTCGAGTCTTATCAATGAGTTCTGCATTTAGACCTCGTGTAAATTGGTGCCGGAGAAGGTTACATTTCTCGTCGTAAGTCTTTCTGACATTTTCACTTGCCTAAATAAACAAAGTAATGCAGTTTCAGTGACTCATTATGCGAAGAACAGACACATTTAATTGGTAGCCTCTATTTCACAACTCACAGCCTTTATTACATTATGTTATAGTTGACATACAACATGCAATCTACACTCCAACTAGTATTAAACAAATCAAATTTTACGATTAGTAGAAATAAAAATAGTATGCCTGCAACATTTTACAACCATTCTTTCAAGATACAGTAGTTACCTCCTAAACTTAGTCTTGAGAACTAGTACAAGATTAAAAGCACGGTTTAGGAGAAACAAAAATAGTATGCCTGCTACATTTTACAACCATTCTTTCAAGATACAGCAGTTGCCTCCTAAACTTAGTCTTGAGAACTACTCCCTCCGTTCCGAAATGTAAGTCTTTTTAGATATTTCAATAAAAGACTACATACATAGCAAAATGAGTGAATCTACACTTTAAAATATGTCTATATACATCCGTATGTAGTCCATAGTGAAATCTCTAAAAAGACTTATATTTAGGAACGGAGGGAGTACAAGATTAAAAACAAGGTTTCACTAGTCATACAGCAAAACACCAGCCATATTTTTAGAGAAGTGACTAATTCATGTTTGGCGCATCATACTAGAAAGCTTCCTTAAATAATGTAAATGTACCTTGATTTCATCATATAATTTTCTCTCCCATGCATGTAGCCTATCCAATGTAGAAGAATGGCTTCCAGACACCATAGCAAATTGCTCAATAAAATCATTATTACTATCATCCACATCATCTTGAATCATCGAAGTTGTAAGTGGACTTTTAGATGACGATGATAGAGACGAGACTGAACGTTTCCAAGTAACAACATTTGAAACATGCTGTGCAGTTTCTACAGAAACAAAACAAATAGTATATCTTTAGGCAAATATTATTGTGGCAATGATGAGAAGATGACAGTTACACATCCTACTTACCCTGATTGAGAAGAATTTGACGATTGCAGCAGACTCGAAGGGCTGATACGAACCGGGCAGTAGGTTTGCCTGGAGAACCTGGAATTTAAGAAATAAATGGGAAAGGAAGATTCATCAAACAATCCTATTTAACCCAGATAAGAAAGTGAAGAAATCATCTTGTCTTTTTAGGCAACCTCGGTCTGATAGCCCACCAATTTTTGGGCTTGCCCTCACATTGGCAAGCCAAAATTTGGTATAACCAAGAGATGCCCAAAAAGACAAGACCATGTATCCCCTCATGATTATCACCTGGTAATTTAGCAGATATATCAAGTCTGATCTTCTTTGTCTCAAGCATTCTTGAAACCTCATTCCCGGCTTCGGCAGCACGTATAAAGCGGGTTTCAATTTCCTTCATGCTTGACACAAAATCTTTTGCTCGATGGGTGATGAACTCAGAGGGATCTTCGGTTTCTGTGTGTGATTCTCTTTTTGAATCCCCTTCCTCCACCTTTGGCACAACCTGCTCTGAAGAAGCCCCTTCATCAGAAGCAGCCACCAGCCCACTTGCTTTACTGACCCCTCTTTGTGTTGCTTTGGTTTCCTGCTTCGGCACCGTGTCATCATCGACAATCTCCAATTCTGAATGCATTCTAGTGGACCTGTTTGCTGGTTCTTCACTCAATGTCACCGGCTCGGCTTCCCATGACTCTCTCAAGCCCTTCAACCTATCGAAGTTCAAGGTCAGACCATCCACATTGTTTGCTCTGGCAGCACCAGCGGCGTCAAAGAAATCCCATGAGGCACTCATTTCCTCCGAGGACAGCGGCGGCGGCGGCGGCACGAAGGCGGAGACGGGGGACTCCTGCCCCACAAACTCAGCGGCGGACGGATCGACCGTGAACGTCAGAGGAGCAGTCCCCGCGGCCTTCATGCAGTGGACCCTCGCCGCCGCCGCCGACGACGGAGAGGCCAGGCGATCCCCTCCTCGATGCATCGCCAGCATCGGGGACGGGGAGCCCCCGGCGGTGTTGTCCGCCTCCGCCGCGCGCGACGGCGACGGGGACGCCATGGAGGAGCGCGACGGCGACCTGCCCGCCTCGGAGATGGAGAGCGACGACTCGGGCGACAGGTTGGCGGCCTCGGCGTGCCGCCGCAGCGCGGTGCCCACGCCGCGCAGGGAGCGGGTGTAGGACAGGTGCGCCGCCGAGAGCGCGTCGCGGGAGTCGATGGCCCGCCTGATGCGCCGCAGCCGCTCCTTGCACAGGGCCAGGGCGCCCTCGCCGCCGCCGCCGCCGGCCTTGGAGGGCGAGGAACCCATCGAACCGGATCCCCTCCTGCGAAATTTAGGGCACGGATGGTCAGAAATCGGGATTTCGGTACCTAGTCGCCGGATGAGAGTGGCGTCGTGCCTGGAAACCCAATGCAGGGTGGGTGGAGACGGCGCCGCGGTGGAGGGGCGGCGGGGACGGCAATGGCAGCGGCGGCGAGCGTGGGAGGCGGAGGAGCTGGGAGTGGTGGGCTCCAACGGGATGCAGGAGCTGGTGCCCTGCTCCGGCGACGGCGCCGCGGCGGAGGAGGAGGTGGACTCCGGCGGGTCTCCGATCTGGGAGGGGGGAGGCGAGTGGGGAGGAGCTCAGCTCGAAGCAGAGCAGCGGCAGCAGGCAGCTCGCTCTGCTTTTTTTTTTCTCTTTGGAGATTTGGAGAGGAGCAGCAGCTTGCGTGGGCGCAGCTCACGACCATGCGGCCCACTAACGTCCATTTCCGGTCCAACCAACCATGCATACTAAAAAAATCACATTTGCCTCAGAAAAATTTACATGATTTTCTCAGAAAAAAATCACATGGCATATCCCATGGTTTGAGTTGCCTCAAAAATATCTAGAGAGGGGCTGGAACCTGAGCCTTCTCAGCGATTTGGGAATTCTGACTGCAATTACCTATCAAAATGTGTTCTACTCGTCCGGTCCGATCTAGCGAGAGGATGATCGAAGCAGGTGGATAACAACCAAGTTCGAACCCTTCTAGAGTAGTTTTTTCATGTTGGTAGCCGTATCGGGGTCAATCTTTGGTGGGGCTCTTGTGCTGGCCTTTGTGGGTTTCCCTGTGAGCTCGGTGTGTGCCGGATCCGGTAGCCGACATAGCCCTCGCCCTCGCATGTCCTCCTCGATGCCAGATCGACGATCTTTGTCATGCAATGGTGACAGTAAGAGCTCTGCCTCTTCCAGCTATGGCACCCATCTTCACTACGTCCAGGTTAAACCCCCCCCCTCTCTCTCTCTCTCTCTCTCTCTCTCTCTCTCTCTACATGTCATGCAGGCGCTCCAGCGAGCCCTCGGCTTCACCCTGCAAGCACTCGAGGAGGTTGAGCTTGTCCCTGTCGGCGAAGTAACCGTATGCGTATGTCCACCTCAGCATCTGCCGCCCCTCCAGGATCTGCCTGTAGGCGTCAATCATGAAGCCGAGCTGCCGCTGCGCCTCGACGGCGGCGCCGCCCTCAAGATAGCCCTTTCAGGCACTCTCCAGCTCGAACATGTCATCGCTCACCCTCTGCCGCGAGTGCTCGTGCGCCACCCACCGCTCGTAGTAGTGCATGTACCTGTCAAGGGATGCCCCGGCGTACACCTGTCGGGTGTTGATCTCGTCGATCTCGTAGCGGTTACAGGTGGTGTGGCCATGGTAGTCGACGAGGCAGATCCAGCAGAACTCGTGGCAGCAGGGGAGATCCGACGGTCTAAAGCATATCAAAAAATTGATTCGACGGCCACCAGTTGCTGAGCTCTGAGAGAGCCATTATTCTCCCAGAGTTCTTATTTCAGGATATACACACAACACGCACATGCATCCTTTGCACTACGTGAAGCTTTCTACTTGCCCAGCTAAGATTCTGTTTCAAGCATACCATTTTTATAGATGGTATGGATGATTTTTAAATAACATGAATATTTTTTTACATTTTTAAAAATGGTTTATAAAATCTCACGAGCATATTTGAAATGTGTACACTTGTTTTAAATGACGTGACCAATTTTTGAATAGTACGAAGCATTCTTTTTGAAAATCATGCAAACATTTTCTACATTGTATAATCGTATTTTAAAATAGCACGAGCATATTTTGAAATGAGTCAATATTTTTGAAATTAACAGGTCGACTACATCAACCGCGTTGTTAAACGCTTCCACTTTCTGTCTATAAGGATACATAGACACACTCTCCCCCTCTCATTACTATGCATCTTTTAGATAGATCTTGCGTGAGCGTAGGAATTTTTTTGAAATTGCATGCTACGTTCCCTAAGGACCATCCTTGAAGCGGAGTAGGGAAGCAACCCATCGCAAATTTGGCGAGCTGTGCTAGATGGTAGAGACTGTTGGTTTTGATCTGATGGCTTAAACAGGTGTAACACCCACGTTGCGGCTATATCTCCCACGTGTCGAAGCACGACTTAGAGGCATAACCGCATGGTGGTTTTGTCGCAAGAAGGGTCATCTTCACACAATCCCATGTAATGAACAAGAATGGGATAAAGAGGGTTGGCTTACAATCGCCACTTCACACAATACATAAATTAAGATCATACATCATTCAAATACACTCATAGACCGGCTACGGTCAAGTTCAAATGAAAAGAAGACAACCCCAAATGCTAGATCCCTGATCGCCCCGACTGGGCACCTCTACTGATCATCTGGAAATGATACATAGTAACGACCAAAGGCCTTATCAAATTCCCACTTCAGCTCAGTTGCGCCATCTGCGCCAGTATCCTCGGCACCTGCATCTGTTTTGGTAGAATCTGTGAGTCACGAGGACTCAGCAATCTCACACCCGCGAGATCAAGACTATTTAAGCTCATAGGTAGGTAAGGGGTAATATGGTGGAGCGGCGGCAAGCACTAAGCATATATGGTGGCTAACATATGCAAGTGAGAGCGAGAAGAGAAGCAACGCGTCGGTCGAGAAGCTAGAAGCGATCAAGAAGTGATCCTGAAACTACTTACGTCAAGCATAACTCAAACCGTGTTCACTTCCCGGACTCCGCCGAGAAGAAACCATCACGGCTACACACGCGGTGGATGCATTTTAAAGAGGTCAAGTGTCAAGTTATCTACAACCGGACATTAACAAATTCCCATCTGCCTCATAACCGCGGGCACGGCTTTCAAAAGATTATATACCCTGCAGGGGTGTCCCAACTCGGCCCATCACAAGCTCTCACGGTCAACGAAGGAATAGACCTTCTCCCGGGAAGACCCGATCAGTCTCGGAATCCCGGTTCGCAAAACATTTCGACAATGGTAAACCAAGACCAGCAAAGCCGCCCGATGTGCCGACAAATCCCGATAGGAGCTGCACATATCTCGTTTTCAGGGCACACCGGATGAGACAGGCTACGAGTAAAACCAGCCCTCAAGTTTCCCCGAGGTGGCCCCGCAGGCGGCTCATTTCGGACCAACACTCGAAGGAGCACTGGCCCGGGGGGGGGGGGGTTAAAATAAATATGACCCTTGAGCTCGCGAAAACCCAAGGGAAAAGGGCTTAGGTGGCAAATGGTAAAACTAAGTTTGGGCCTTGCTGGAGGAGTTTTATTCAAAGCGAACTGTTAAGGGGGTCCCATAAATCACCCAACCGTGTAAGGAACGCAAAATCAAGGAACATAACACCGGTATGACGGAAACTAGGGCGGCAAGAGGGGAACAAGTCACCAGGCATAAGGCCGAGCCTTCCACCCTTTACCAAGTATATAAGGTGCATTAATTTAAACAGGAGATATTGTGATATCCCAAAATATCCGTGTTCCGACCAGGAACAAACTTCATCTTCACCTGCAACTAACAATGTTATAAGAGGGGCTGAGCAAAAGCGGTGACATAGCCAAACAACGATTGCTAGGGCAGGTTGGTTAGAGGTTTGACATGGCAATAGGTAGGCATGGTAAAGAAAGGCAGGTAGAGCTAACATAGCGATAGAGCGAGTACTAGCAAGCAAAGATAGAAGTGATATCGAAGGTATGGTCATCTTGCCTGCAAGGTTCTCAGAGTTGTCGAAGGCTGGATCCTCGTTAGCGTACTCAACAGGTTCCTCGTTCACGTACTCGTCTCCCGGCTCTACCCGAAGCAAGAACACAAGCAAGGAACCACCATAAATCACGGTGCAATGTCCAGGCATCATGATGCAAAACATGTCATGATATGCGAGAGGTGATATGCAAAGCGTATGCGTGCTTCGGAAGGAAGGATGATAAACAAGGCATCAACTTGGCAAACCAAGTATGCCGCTGGAAAGATGGGATGATTTCGGTTGAAATCGATATAAGGATCACCGGATTCGGGTACACGGTTTTCAAATGACAACCACGACAAGATATGATGCAAAAAGCAACATGGCCACTTGGATGCAAAGTAAGAACAAGCTATAGCACCCAAACATATTAACAAGATGCATAACAGTGATGTATAGAAGATGCTCTACGAAACATGAACACTGAGCTCAATCTAAAAACCAGTAGAGCATGACTAAAATAGCATGGCAATAATGCAAGAGATAACAGTTCTACAGACTTAGTGGAATTACTAGACATAGCAAAAACAGATTCATCAAGGCATCTCTACAGGCACGGAATAAGTACTAGTATGAAGTAGGCATGACAATGTAGCTACTCAAGTGCAAAACAAACAACTAGCATATTTGCATGAACAAGCACATAAGAGACAAAACAACAATACGAAGTGAGATGGCATGATTATGAACTTGCTCAAATGCAGAAACTAATGACACCATTGGATTGGTGGAATTTTTCTACCCCAAAAACATATATAATATGTTGGGGTTGCTGTAAAAAAATCATCACAAATGCACTAAGATACAACCTGCCCTAAATGGAAACCTCAGCATATTCCAAAACTGGCATGTTCCGAAATGGAATAAAACAGAAAACCTGTGGGGAAAGCTAGGTGCACCCAAGCTGTACCCAGATGTTAGGCTGACTGGTAGGGCCGTGGGCCACGTGGCTGGGTGTGTATGACCGGTGGGGACAAGGCGTCAACGTCACAACGAAAAAGAAAGAAAAATAAAATCAACACAAAACATGTGATGATATGCGAGAGGTGATATGCAAAGCGTATGCGTGCTTCGGAAGGAAGGATGATAAACAAGGCATCAACTTGGCAAACCAAGTATGCCGCTGGAAAGATGGGATGATTTCGGTTGAAATCGATATAAGGATCACCGGATTCGGGTACACGGTTTTCAAATGACAACCACGACAAGATATGATGCAAACAGCAACATGGCCACTTGGATGCAAAGTAAGAACAAG